AGACCTAATTGTTGGGGTGGCTGGGTGGCTCAGTGGGTTAAAGCCTCTGCCTTTGGCTCAGGTCATGATCCCAGGGTCCTGGGATGAAGCCTCACATCAGGCTCTCTGCTCAGTGGGGAGTCTGCTTCCCTTCCTCTCTTTCTGCCTGCCTCTCTGCCTACTTGTGATTTCTGTCTGTCAAATAAATAAATAAAATCTTAAAAAAAAAAAAAGACCCAATTGTAGTGTAGATTTCCAACTCCTGCCTTATCAGACCATCTCAACTAAGCTCTTTTCCATTTTTTAGGTTCTACCCAAATTCTCTAAAGTTGTCCATTTTAGTCCTGTTCTCAGTGGAAAATGAGTGCCCAATCCTAATCACCCATATGGTTTTACTATTCCTCCTCTATAGATATGTCTCCAAGACTACATAATAGGCAAAGGTCAGGAAAATAACTTTGTCTACTAATCCCGTGTGCTCGGGATAGCTTGTGAGCTCACCTGAATTCCTTGGGAGGTGTTAGACTAGAATCAGTCCTGCATAATCTTGCCTTTGCTCTGCCCCACCCCATTAGACACCTATTCCTAGAATTTTGCTTATTTCCTCTAATGTTGGAGAAATAAGCCAAAGACCACAGTCAAGTAACCATAAAGTCATAATTCCCCAGAGACTTGAAAAAGCCGTCATCTGCTGCCTCGGTATGGCTACCAGTCAGCCCTTTTGATGTACAGCATCTGTCTTTTTCAAGGAAATAAGAAAGGTCTGGTTCTCCTTTCTAGTCTGTGAAGTGGGAGGCAGTATCATTTGTTGTACGGAGCCACAAGCTCCATTTTACTGGGTTGCAAGCTGCTGACTGTCTTTTTTAACATGCTGAAAATTTCATCAGCTGTCTTTAATAAAAGATGTGTGTGAGGGAAGACATCAGCCGTTGTGGTTGGGTTTCTGTTCCTCAGCCCATGAGTCACAGCAGGCAGAGAGAAACGACACCAGTGTGTCATCAGACAGCCAGTCACCTGGACCTCTTGCCTTTCAGTTATATGGCTACAAAGTCTTTAATTCTGTTCACAAACTTATACTTGCTCCTACTTGGTTATCAAAAGGCTTTTTATTTATGCCCCCTCCTGTCTATTACTATTTAGTCACTTACAGCTTCTGTTAATAAAGTTTCACTTGAACATTTACTACTTTAAATAATGGCATGACCAAAAGAATTCACTTCATGGGAGAAAAGACATTTGATCTGATATTTTTTGTTCTGTAAGTGACTTCATCCTCCCATGTGAAACTTGGAAGTTGGACAGTAATATGACCTAAGATCAGGAAATAACCTCTAGAACACTGCTTCTCAAAGTGTGATGAGTGTACAAAACACCTGGGGATCTTTTTAAAGTTCAGATTCTGATTTGCTAGTTGGTACCTGAAATTCTGCATTTCTGCCAAACTCCCAGGGGATGCTGAGGCTTCTCCCTGAACTAGAGGCAAGGCTAGAAGACCTACAGGCATTCAGTCCCTTGGGCATCCAGTAAGCTACCGCTGGTCACTGCTGGGATGCCTTGTCTTTGAAGAAAGAAAACAACCATATAACAAAAAGTAACCTACATCTAGTTTTATTTGTAAATTTTTAACAAACACATGAAACTGTTTATGTCAAAATTACTGTTGAAACTTCCAAGCTGTTATCTAAGGCAGTAGAACCTGTTACTTGGATCACGTTTGGGCATACATGCAGTTTCCCTCAGTTTCCGCTCACTCAAGCGAGAAGCTATCGTGATGTTTCATTTTATTTTTTTAAGATTTTATTTATTTATTTGTCGGAGAGAAAGAGAACACAAGCAGGGCAAGCAGCAGGCAGAGGGAGAAGTAGGCTCCCTGACAAGCAGGGATCCCCATGCGGGGCTTAGCCCCAGGACTCTGAGATCAGGCTTGGATCCGAAGGCAGATGCTTAACTGACTGAGCCGCTCAGGTGTCCCTATAGCGATGTTTTAAAAAGCATTGCATAATGATAGGTGTTTGTAGGTATTTAAAATAAAAATCTTTTTTATTCTAGTAAGATAGATATATTCAAACTAAAATGTTATTATCTAAACATAGAAATCACTAGCTGCTTAAAAATATTATGTTCTTAAATGTATACATTTTTAGTTTACTTGGATTTTTACTCTTTAAGGAGCACAATGAGTATATGTAAACTTTTATGGGCTCTGTTTAACTTCCTAATGTCAATTTTGATTATTTTTGTTTAATGAACAACATGCTAGGGTGGATAATGCAAAATTGAAGTTATTCCAAAAATGCTATTATAATTCACATTCAGAACTCATTTTGATGACAAACTTCCTAATAGTGCTTTTTTTAGAATGATATTCAGCTTTCCCTTTTCATCATTTGATGGTAGGGGGGTGTCTTCAAAGTGTTCCAGGGACAGAAGCTCCCGGGCTGTGAGTTAGTAACAATAGTAAAGCCTATTTCTGTGGCTGGGCCTTCTTCACCCCGTGTATTCACATCTCTCCCTTCCAGCTTTAGCCTGAGAAAGGCCACGGAGCTGGGAAGGGTGGTAGAGCCAGGCCACAGATCCACAGCATGGCTTTTCCATGGTCACTGGCAGAAGTTTCGGCTTTGTGTTTTTGAGATGATAAGGAGACAGAGGAGAAGAGGGAAAAGCCCATAATATTGTATTCTCATGTAATCTCAGCAGCAGTTCTGCAAAGCAAGTACTGTTATCATCCCGTTTCTGGAAGAAGCTGAGGTCTCAAGTATTCACTCAACTTGTCTGAGTGCACACAGTACTGGGGCAGAGCAGGCACTGGAAGCAAGGCATTGTGACTCTGTGACTTTTGAGTGTTTTTAATAATCCCTTGAATTGTAATTATAGTGAGGCACGGATACTTTGATAACAAAAATGATTCAAGAAATAATGACTACCCCATAGAGCCATCTGGTTTCTTACAGCCCCCGTCCCTGGATCTCTTCTATTTCTGGTTAGCCAGGAATGGTCTCCAACTGGAGTCCGCCCTCCCCATATCCTCTCTTCCCACTCAGGATAGCGGAAGTCTAAACATTTTATCTACTTAGCATCTCTAGTAATTCAGACTGTGAACACACTTTGTCATTAGTGTAGTAGCTGTTTATTGATAGTTGTGCTAAGCTCTGTGAGGGAACATAATTGAGAAATGTGTCTAGGCTTCAAGAAACTCAAGATAATAACGGGCAGAATGATAACAAAGTTCTTTTGGGAAGATAGAGTAGGTGGTGTTATTTTGGGTTCCCAGGGTGGAGCTTCATTGTACATGTAATTTAGAGCTGTGTTTATTTGGACTGGGACTTAAAATTAGAAATTGACCATCTGTATTTTCCTTGATAAGTATGGAGTCATCCTGACCAAAAAGTTTTTTGAAGGTCAGGCATAGCTTATATTTGCAATATTATTTTTGGAAAAGAAAAAAAGGATGTAGAAAAGTTTGAAAGTAATGCCCCATAGTTGAGGACTTGAGAGAATTTTGCTATATATCCAGAGACATTATGTAGCCATTGAAATAAAAATTATAAAGTATGTATAACAGCATAAAAATCACAAATATGCATGTGCTGTATACCTCAAGCAGAATAAAAGGAGGAAAAATATGATAGCGGACCTCACCAAGATCACAGTCGGTGGTTGAGCAAGAATTCAAATCCAGACCTCTTAAAATCCAAATCTGATCCTCTCTTTACAGTTGGTTTATTCTGAGCTATTCAGCCCTGCCCCCAGCATTGTTTTTGGTTCAGAAATAATGGTTTTCCCCACAGTAAAGAGTGGAGTCACTTGAATTTAGCTGAAAAATGCACACATTTTGTGAAAATACTGAATTGTAAAAATAATTGTGAATTATTTTACACTGCATCACAGAGTTGTCAGGACAATTAATAGTTGACACCATCTGCAAAATGAAAACACAATCTTAGCATAAACATTTTTAGTTTTATCTGATATCTGAAATATGCATTTGTGTAAGTGCCAAAATATTAGCTGCTCTGTTAGCCAGAAAGTTCCAGCAATAAGACAAGAGCAGAACAGCCTTTATTTGTAGATAGGAAGCAAAGTATTTTTTCCTTTGGGAAGGACTTTTTTGTTGTTAATGAATGTCTGAGAATTTGGGGATGGAGACCATTGTGTTAAGTTAATGGTACATAACTCATATATATATATATATATATATTTTTTTTTTAAACTTGGCCTTTCATATGATAGTTTTGTATTGCAAATATCACACATTACAAAAAATTTTGTGTTGGAGAATCACAACTACTTTTAAGCAAATAATTTAAAACTTTTCTTACAGAAGTTATATTTTTATGTACTATATTATATCTGTTTTGGTATGTTGTTATTTTGCTGTATTTATAATAAACATTCACCATTAGAAGTTTGAAAGATTGTCTTCAAAAGGAGATCTTTGTCTCATTAAACTACTTGGATTAGATTTGGAAAGGATGTTAGTGGTTACATTTGAATTTTTTTTTCAGGGTTTTTACCCTGAAAACTTCAGTAAGATTTTACAAATTTTTAACTTATTTACTTATGTTTGCCTAAGTGGCCTGGGATATTGCTAAGGAGAGGAAACAAAGAGTGGGTAGATGTAGATTTATCAGGTTTTCCAACTTAACATTTCTTGGCATTGAGTTGAAAAAGGAAAGCGCAGTTTTATCTGAAAATGTAGGACTTTTACCTTTTTTCTCAGAAAAGTACAGTCTGACTAGGTTACTAGGTTTTCATATGTAACCTATGCTTTCTCATTAAAGAAGAATATTTTTCAAGCTGCCTGCCCTGTTTAAAGCACAAAGTACACCAGCTGTTTGAAAACTTTTTTTTTTTCTTCCTAGTTATCTTGGTCTATTTTGTATAAATTGTTAAATTGTTTCCATAAAATGCCTCCAGACATAAGGGAATCATTTGCATAAGTGGATGAAGATTTTTGTCTTCCATGAAGGAAAGCTTGAAACAAGACTCTTAATCATTTTCCTCCCTCTCTCTGGTTCCAGTATCCCGCAGCTCTGATGAACCTGGGGGCTATTCTCCATCTCAATGGCCGGCTACAAAAGGCTGAGGCCAACTACCTGCGGGCGCTGCAGCTCAAGCCAGATGACGTCATCACGCAGTCCAATCTCCGCAAACTGTGGAATATCATGGAGAAGCAAGGTTTAAAGACTTCCAAGACTTGACACTGGAGGGCAGTACCTCGCCCTCCTCCATATTTGGAAGCTGGCTTCATGAATGAACAGAACTTCCCAGCAGTGCTGTGACAAGAGCTAGTATGGACTTCAAGACGGGGGCAGAGGTCACTGAGGTCACTGCCACTTCTGGGAGTATTCACTTCGCTGTTGGCACAGCCGTTAACACCAAAAAGGGGAACATTGGAAACCTCCTGAAGGATGTAATTGTTACCCATAGAACTATAAACCAGAGCACTTAAAACAGGATCTTATGGCATTGGGAGGGTGGGGGAGGGGCGGGGGGAGGGAGGGAATCTAAGTTACAAATTTTGCTCATTTTTGAAAGCTAATTTAGAAATTATCTTGTTCCTTAAACACTTAAACACTGTGAGAGGAAGTCAGCGGGTCTGTTCAGCCCTGGTAAGCTATTAAGATCAAGTGTTAATAGGGAATGATTCAAGTGTGGTGTGAATCCCAGTGAGCTGGCCAGTTGTCCTGACGCTGCTGTCTTCCCTCTTCCGGACAGCCTGCTTATCAATTTCTGAAACTTAGGGGGAAAAGAAATTTTTTTTTTTAAAGTACATCAGGATCTGTCAGAATCTAGTTATTTCCTGACTATTGCACATAATATTTTATGATTTGGATGTCACAGTCTTCATTTCTTTTGGACAGCATTTGCTTTTCATGTTCTAAGCAGAGCTGAATACGTTTCACACTGGTGTTGCAGGACGGGTTGGGGAGACCTTAAAAGTGTCGGCAGGCATTTTTTATTTTAATGTCACCAACATATTCCCCCAAACTGCCTTGGAGAATTCATTGTATTAATTCTAAGGCTTTTGAAATGGCTCTTTCTGGTTAATGCACATGTTTATATAAGGATTACATCTAAAGAGCTTAAAAGTGATCTAGTTCGGATATAACCAGCAGCTGTTAGACAAAAGGGAAGGTGCTACGTGCTTCCCAGATGTTACTGACTAAAAAAATCCAGTCTGCACAAAGAAGTGTATCATAATGGCTGCCAATGATTTTATATTTTAGAAAGAGTTGGTATAAAATGCTAATCCCTTTCTAATAGGTTCCTAAACAGCAATGCTGATGTTTTTAAGGAGTAATTTTTACTGTGTTTTGCTCTTCCTATAAGACATCAAAAAATGACCTATTTTAAGCGATAGTAGAGTATAGCATCATCCCGTGTGTTTCTAGGTCTTCTGCCAAGTGCTTTTCACAGTTGAACACTAATTTCACTAGCATACTGGTATTTTACTACTTTACCTATTAGTAACCACTTCAGTGATCATTACACAAGTAAAAATGAAGTAGAGAAAAACATTTATCGAACATTTTTTTGGCTTGGAAACTTTACTACTAAAAATTAACTTTGCAAAAGAGTTCATTATCAACTTCATAGAGAAAGTAGCTATAGAGTACCCTGCATATTTATTTATTTATTATTCTACCATAGCAAAATAAAACAAAACTTGATTCATTAAGTCAGTTCTTTGCAACTGAAAATGAGCTGTTCCTCCTTTCCTTTAACACTTCATGTAAATATCGGTCAGCATCCCCACTAAAAGGAGGCTGGACATACAAATACATCATCTTATGTTTTCTCCATATCTTAAATGTTTCCCTACATATCTGAGTAAAGTGGGATGAAGAATTTAAAGTAGTGTTCCTATGGCATTAGTGTTTTTTTAAGAAGGGCAGATGTAGTGAGAGAGGTCTGTTAATGGCATTAATAAGAACACCTTCCTAATGTGTATATTATTTCGTAAACATTTCATGGAAGGGGCCAAAAGTTAAATTATAAATAAATCACTGTGTTTTCAGAATGATATTTAACATTTAACAACAGCAAACCCGTGGTCAAACCAAAAATGTGGGTTGAAATGTATTTTTCATCTTCTAGTGCATTGGCAATTGCTTAAAAAAAAAAGTAAGTAAATAAATAAGGAATTTAATATAAGGATATAGAGATAAATTCAATGTCTAACATTTTTATTTATTTAAATAGTTATTGACCTATGATGACTTCCTAGTCTTAACATTTTATGTCTTTTTGTTGTTCATGTTCTTCCTTTCACACACTTGGTTCTTAATAGGTTTGCTGATTGCACACAGTAGAGGCACTTCATTTTGACCCAGTTCCCAAGTAGCATTAATAATTGGGCCTGTGTCATAAAATGCATGGATCTTTAATAGCTAAATGTCCCTGACACCTTTCACTACAGGGCTGGGCTTAGTAACTGACCAATGTGGGGGGAGGTTGGGGGGGACTAAAGATCACGGTCAAAAAATGTCTCCGCTCAGGGATTTATGGTGGATTATTGTAGACAGTGCTAAAAATATAGAGCACAAGACAAGTTTACTAAATTAAAGTTTTATTTTTTGAGAAACTGTTATTTGTATAAATTATCAAGATTTGTAGGCTTTCCTTTTGTAGAAATAATTGTTTTATGTGCCAGAGAATTTCAATTTTGTTTTCAACAATAAAGCATTGATAACAAATGTGTCGTGTAAACCTTTTTTAAAATCTATAGCAACACAACTTAACGCTGTCATGGATTTTAACAGAAATTGGAGAAAGTTTGAAAAAGGGAGAGATTGAGAGTCAAACAGAGACACATCAAGGCTAATGTATAACCAATAATCATTAATATGTAATAGTTATAATAATATTAAGGGTTGCCTGTAACATCTGATTTGCCGCTTTCCAAAAAAGATGACATATTTTTTTTTTGTTTTATTGATGAACTGTAGAAAAGTGTTAGGTAATAGCCCAAGCATAGCCCGTTCTCTGCCTCATAGGTCATTTAGTTAAAATGGTCATATTTAGAAGACCCTGATTCTCTAGTCATAATCCTAGAAGAAAGCACAACCCTGTTCGGTTGAGAGACTTGGGTATGGCACATTCAGGTATCAGTTACAAGAAAACCTTGGGTCCTAGACAAGGTGCAAACTGGCAGAAAATTTGATCATCTTGTTAAAATTGTCATTGCATAGTAACATAATTACATATTGCCTGATAGCTTTATTAACGATAAAATTGGGGGTGCCTGGGTGACTCAGTTGTTAAGTGCCTGGCTTCAGCTCAGGTCATGATCCCCGGGTCTGGGGATTGAGCCCCATGTGTCAGCAGGGTGTCTACTTGTCTCTTTCCCTCTGTCCCTCCCCCTGCTGGTGCATGTGCACATTCTCTCTCTTTCAAATAAAATCTTTAAAAAGAAGGATAAGGGGCGCCTGGGTGGCTCAGTGGGTTAAAGCCATTACCTTCGGCTCAGGTCATGATCCCAGGGTCCTGAGATGGAGCCCCACATCGGGCTCTCTGCTCAGCAGGGAGCCTGCTTCCCTTCCTCTCTCTGCCTGCCTCTCTGCCTACTTGTTGCCTGCCTCTCTGCCTACTTGTGATCTCTCTCTGTCAAAAAAATAATATCTTAAAAAAAAAAAAGTAAAAGTAAAATAAGGGTAAAATTTAGCTATAAGGATTTTACTTTTAAACATCATATGGATGTGGAAGGTTATATTCCAGCTTTATAGTTAAGAAACCCAGAGTTCAGAGGTATAAAATAACTTGCCCAGGTCACAAAGCTAGCAAGCAGCAAGACTGTCCCCATGGTGTCCTGTGCTTATATATCCTGTGTCTTGTGAGCCCTCACACTCTGAACCCAAGTCCAGAGATGAGGTTTCTCATTCACCTTGGCCTTTGTCTAGCTTTTCCATCTTCCACAAATCATATTCTCTACCTCTCACACTGCAGATGACCAAGAAGACCGAAGGAAGTTGTTGTGGTCTGAATGTTCATGTACCCCCCCAAATTCCTATGTCCATAGATTATGTTATTAGGAGGTGGGGGAGCAGGGGAGTGATTAGTTGGTGAGGACAGATCCCTCATGAGTGGGTTTTGGTTTCTATTTCATTGATTTCTGCTCTGATATTATTTCTCTTCTCCTGCTGGGTTTCGGCTTTCTTTGCTGTTCTTTCTCCAGCTCCTTTATGTGTAGGGTTAGATTATATACTCGAGACCTTTCTTGTTTCTTGAGAAAGGCTTGTATTGCTGTATACTTTCCTCTCAGGACTGACTTTGTTGTGTCCCAAAGATTTTGAACAGTTGTATTTTTATTTTCATTTGTTTCCATGAATTTTTTTAGTTCTTCTTTAATTTTCTTGTTGACCCATTCATTCTTTAGTAGGATACTCTTTGTATTTGTATTTGTACATGATACACCATGTATTTGAATTCTTTCCAACTTTCCTCTTGTGATTGAGTTTTAGCTTCAGAGCATTGTGGTCTGAAAATATGCAGGGAATTATCCCAATTTTTTGGACTGGTTGAGACCTGATTTGTGACCCAGGATGTGATCTATTCTGGAGAATGTTCCATGTGCACTACAGAAGAATATGTATTCTGTTGTTTTCAGATGGAATGTTCTAAATATATCTGTGATGTCCATCTGGCCCAGTGTGTCATTTAAAGTCTTTATTTCCTTGTTCATCTTTTGCTTAGATGATCTGTCCATTTCAGTGAGTGGGGGGTGTATAAGTCTCCTACTATTGTTGTATTGTCAATGTGTTTCTTTGATATTATTGTTAATTTGTTTATATAATTTGCTGCTCCCATGTTAGGGGCATAGATATTTAAAAATTGTTAGATCTTCTTGTATAGACCCTTTAAGTATGATATAGTGTCCTTCCTCATCTCTTAATATGGTCTTATTATCTGATATAAGGATTCCCACCCCAGCTTTCTTTTGATGTCCATTAGCATGGTAAATTGTTTTCCACCCCCTCACTTTAAATCTGGATGTGTCTTTGGGTCTAAATGAGTTTTTTGTAGACAGCATATCGATGGGTCTTGTTTTTCTTGTCCATTCTGATGCCCTGTATCTTTTGACTGGGGCATTTAGCCCATTTACATTCAGGTTAACTCTTGAAAGGTAGGAATTTAGTGCCATTGTATTGCCTATAAGGTGACTGTTAACTATAGATTGTCTCTGTTCCTTTCTGGTCTACTACTGTCAGGCTCTCTCTTTGCTTAGAGGACTCCTTTCAATATTTCCTATAGGGCTGGTTTGGAGTTTGCAAATTCTTTCAGTTTTTGTTTGTCCTGGAAGCTTTTTATCTCTCCTTTTATTTTCAATGATAGCCTAGCTGGATATAGTATTCTTGGCTGCATATTTTTCTCACTTAGTGCTCTGAATATATTGTGCCAGGCCTTTCTGGCCTACCAGGTCTCTGTGGATAAGTCTGCTGTCAATCTAGTATTTCTACCGTTGTATGTTA